TCAAACGCTACGCCATCGGTTCGTAAATCTACGGCGGGAGACCTTGTACTGAGAAGAACCGGCAAGAAACTCAGCAAATTATTATTTTGATCAACTAGTCGATTCTGTAACACACAATTACACTACCGAGTTTTTTTTTTAATATGTTTATGCTGTTGGTCGTTAATGACCTTTACAGCGTGACCGGGTTCGGGGACGATGAGATCCTAAGGGGACCTCAATCCGAGAATTGGCGATTGCCTCTAGAAGTATCCAGCCAGATGCCACCTTCCCATGGGGAGTCTCCTCTTCGTCTGCAGCCTCTAGGTCTAGACCACTCGAATCTGAATGGGTCGGCTTAACTAGACTCGGACCTCAACTCTAGTTAGCCGTTGTCGTTGGGCCTAATCACTACCGAGTGTAGATAATTCGAGCATTTGTAACCCAGTCATGGATGTTTGATATGTATTGCTATATAAATATACTGATATATGTATCAGTGTATGTATTCTATACGTTACCCTAGTATCCCATAACACAAGCCTACAGTGCTTACTTTGGGGCTAGGCTAATTGGTGTGAGTGTTGGAAATATTTAATTATTTATATTGTATTGTGAGAAATACATTATCTCTGCATTTTCAAGTTAAAAGCAACCCAGAAAATGCACAATGCGTCTCCAAACAATATAAACAAATCCATTCAGGAATGATTCTTTTTTGATTTTTTGAATGCTGCTGCATTTCGCCATCGTACGTCGCGACAAAAATTTCATCCCCATCATTTTGATGCGTGGCTATCCACAACCGTGAGTTTTTGTTGAAATTTTTTACCACGTACGACAAAACTGTGGAATATATTGTCGCCAGCAGTGATTCCGGACCAATACGACCCAAAAACGTTTAAAAAAAGAGCGTACTCTTTCCTTAAAGGCCGGCATCGCATTTATGATACTCCTGGTGTTGCAAGTGTCCATGGGCGACGGTGATCACTTACCATCAGGTGAACCGTCTGCTCGCATGCCCCCTATAACGTAAAAAAATTGATTGATTCGCAAAAAAATGTTGCCAGTCACACCTATTCATCATTTCCCCCATTTCTAAGAATCCATTTCTAACGCTTCGCTAAAATTGTTGCAAATGCTATGAAATCTGTTTGTTTACCACACCGTTTGAGATCAAAGCTACGAGAAATTACGGCGGGAATTAAATGTCATGTTGCGGTTGTGAATTTTTCGAATGTTTTCTTCCTTTCGTTTATTATTGTGATGAAAAAATAAAATTATGGCTGACGGAAAATGTAACGAGGACTGTTGTTGAGAAAAGTGGTTACCTTTTTACGTTCAAAACGATTTGGGGATAAAAAAGGTGAGATTGATATAATATACACACATCAAAATTGTCTAGGGATCAACATATATTTTTGCAATAACTTTTCTCCTGATTGATATTAATTAAAATTTTCTTTAAGGATTCATCAAATAAAGTGTTTTCGTTTGTCACAGTAACGATAAACCAAGTCACCTTTGCATTAATAAATAAATTTGCCATTTTCCTAATAAAGGGATTTTTGACATTTGAACCACTAACACAAAAGTTCGAAAAAAAGACTGAAATAACAGTTTTCTCTAAAATTTTATTGGGTAACTTAAACAATTAATAATCCGTATTTCTACCGCGAACACTAACAACACAAGAACATCGGTTTGGCATACTCAAAATGAGTTCATCCAAATCACGCTGTGGAATGGCCGCCCATGTTCGTTGCAACAACAAAAAAAGGTCTTCTTGCGACTGGATACCCTCCATATTCGGCAGAGCTCTTCTCTGTAGCATATCCCATGCATGCTCAATCGGGTTCAAGTCTGGCGACTGAGCAGGCCAGGGCAGGACATTGATGTTAGCTGCGGCGAGAGTCTGTCTTACAACTCTTGCGGTGTGCGGTCGTGCATTATCATGCATTAACTGAAATAAGGGACCGATTTGCACTTGTAGAGGAACGATGACGTCTGATACAATCGTCTCAGCATAAATTTGAGCGTTGAGGTTGCCTCTGATCCAAATCAACTCAGTTCTTCTGCCGATCCAAATACCCGCCCATACCATGATGGTTCCACCACTATAAGGATGGACTTCCTGGCAGGATTTTAATCGCTGTTGGCGTCCAGGGGTTCTCCAGTGTCGTATACGTCTTGTATCCGGTCTCATACCAAAACGAGACTCATCAGAAAAGCACACGATACGCCATTGTTCTTCTGCCCAATTTCTGTGTTCAAGAGCCCATTGATATCGAATCCTACGATTGTGCATTGCTATAGGTGGTACCCGTAGCGGTCTTCGGGAATGAAGGTTCACTTCATGCAAGCGGTTTCTGACTGTTTGGTCGCTAATTAAGTTCCCTGAAGAGTGATGAAGCCTCACGGCTAACATCATGGCGGTTATTGTTGGAGCTCTTCGAGTTAAGATTTGAATGTATCGGTCTTGTCTCCGTGTGGTGCAGCGATACCGTCCTCCATGGCGCTCAGCCACGGTACCAGTGCTTCGGTATCGTGTCCAAAGTCGACTGATAACACTCTGACTTGTATTCAGAGCTAAAGCCACAGTACGTTGCCGGGAACCAGCTTCTATCATTCCCACGGCTCTGAGCATTTCTTCCCTGCTTAAATGACGTCGCCGCTCCATAATAACGTTGGTTTTAATCAGTAGTAGGGAAACAGTAGCACTAATAATGTCTTCAATGCGTTGTATGTTTTTATAGGGAAAATATTGACAGCTGATTTTCATCTTTTACTCGAATTTGATTCACAGTTCCTGATTCAAATTATGAAATGCACCAAAAAGGATCCATATAAATTTATAAAATCATAAATTTATTACAAAGCCACATCTCAATCTCAAGAAATCCGCATAAAAATGCTTGATCCCTAGACACTTTTGATGTGTGTATTTCTATAGTTATGGTAAGTACTCGTTTGGTGAGACAAGAGGTTTTGCCGACCTTTTATGATAGATTTAGTTTTGATTTTTGAAGTTATACTTCTTTAGGCGCGTTATGAAAAAATTATGAGAGTGAAATTTTAAGATGCGCGCGCATCGCTGTAACACAAAAAATTCAATTAAAGCTAAAGCGACCAACTTCATGCTGTTACTTTTGTGTTTACCGCACATTAAGAAAATCTACCAACAAAATAGAATCTCTATTTTGTGGGTGCTAACGACTGCATTGTGATGGCCTATCAAAAGTATTTATTAATCTGGAACAACGGAACCAAAGCGCGATTCAGGAGACTACAGCGTCATCTCTTGACCATTGGTGTAGTAGAATCAAAAACCACATCTTTATTTTTTGTAATAAAGTAACAAAAAGTATTTATTAATCTGGAACAACGGAACCAAAGCGCGATTCAGGAGACTACAGCGCCATCTCTTGACCATTGGTGTAGTAGAACCAAAAACCACATATTTATTTTTTGTAATAAAGTAACAGTTATAGGTATTCATATTTATAATATTTATCCACATGTTTCTAGTTTGTATATTCGGAATACGTGTTTGAGTTTCATGCAAGTGCAAATCACATATGTTCTAATAAATTATATTCAGTAGCGATTTTAATTGAATATTTTGATTATTTATTTATTTTTTCAAATTAAAACTGAACTTTATTGACTGTGTCCTTTTCCAGACTTTTTATTAATTTATTGTAATTAATTATTTGCATGCAATTAAAAACTAATTTTAAACGATGCCAAAGAAGGATAACTTCTCACGCGCCTACATAAGTACACGCACCCATTTTTTTTTCTCTAAATGGCTTCGCACGGTTTGCGCATTTAGCCAATGTCAAGTGTTAAAATGTTTACAAATACAATAGCACTCGTGTTCAAAGTAATAAATCAACTCAAAGTAAGAGGCAGTCAAGTCAATCCCCCTTTCCCTATGTTTCAGCAAAAGTGTAGGGATTTACTGAAACCTCCCCGTGGACTTCTTGAGGGAACGTCGAAAGACACTTTCCGCTATTTTGTTTCAATTGCCAACACTTGTGCATGTTCCCGAACACTTAGTGGTTAATAACCCACCATTATCAAGCAATGAAATATTATTAAATCACTACAATCTATCTATATATATTAAACTCAAAAGTGACTGACTGACTGACATAGTGATCTATCAACGCACAGCCCAAACCACTGGACGGATCAGGCTGAAATTTGGCATGCAGGTAGATGTTATGACGTAGGCATCCGCTAAGAAAGGATTTTGGTCAATTCTACCCCCAAGGGGATAAAATAGGGAATGAAAGTTTGTATGAAACTTAGTCAATTTTAAACCGATCGGGCTGAGACTTTGCATACAGGTATAAGAAGAATCATAAATGAATGTCATTGTGTATAATACAAGCCTGAGAACAAAAACTGTAGTCTACACTTCAGCTCTACACCGAAGCGTAGCGAGGGCGGGCCGCTAGTAAACATATAAAAATATAAGAAAAGATTTTTATTACTCTTAACTAATGTGCTATTCATATGAAAAAGAGCATTTAAAAAAAGATGAACTGCATCGAATGAATCCAAATAAAAAATGTATTAGGTATTATCGGACAAGGTCTTTCCAAAGTATCTGTCAATCAACCACTTCTGAAATATTACTTTTTAAAGTGATAACATCGCGGAATAGGTATTCGAAATCCTACGATCATGGATAGCGCGAGTACGTTCTATTTAAAAAAAGTGAGTGTCGTGGCACATCTGGTTGGGAAAAGTTAAAAATAAACAGAATAAGCTACGAAACTGTTAAGGTCCGTGACGGAAATCCGTGACGGAATAATCAAATTTTCGCGTAGTTAGTAATGTATATTTTTCCATGCGATAAAGAACTTCGTTCCAAAAATTCGGCGCATTGAAAGTTTTCAATCCTTCGTGGCTCCATGGTTGAAATATCTCCAATATTTGAAATTGGAAGCGATCATTTCCCGCCCGTATCAGAGTTTTCCTCGGGAAACTCAGACAGTATGATTCATAACGTCGGGAGGGCTGCACGTTTCGGTCGCTCGCAACCTCTCCGTTCCGTAACTTCGCGTAAATAATATAAAAAGTTTTGTTTCTTTTTTTTTATCCATTTGTTAATTGAATATTGATATCGTGTCGTTTGTGTGATAAGTTCAGTTAGTGTGTGCTCAAGTATTGTGTTGTGTTTTGTTTTATTTGTGTTATTATTACTGTTTTGTTTTTGAATAAATTATAAGCGATGGCTGAAAACGACGAGGAAAATATTGAAGGTGAGTGTTGAAATACATTTGGTAGATTGTATGATTATACGTCACATTGAACTTTTTAATTTTGTTGAAACTTATGTCCGAATTATTTTTTATTAGCTAACCGTTTTAGCTGCCACCTGTTGTTGAGTACAAAGTTAATTTTTCAAACTTCGATTGTTTTTTTTTACTTTAAAAGCCTGGCATAGTCTCAGTCATTGTTCTGTTCATAAAAAAATGTAAATTCTAACTTATTATGAAGAATGTTTTTAACAATTTAACTCAAATTCTCACTCTACAAGGAACATTTAATTTTCAGCTTTTTCTGTTAGACCTTAAATATAGCGCTGTTGAAATTAATAAATTTCTTACAATTGTGGTACACTCGGGTACACTGCATAAGCGAGTACGAATCGCCGGCTCAACTGGCTTTTTGTTATTTTGAGATATTTTGCGTTGTAACTATTGACAACCGAATATAGGTAATAATAAATAATAATAATAAATCATTTTTATTGCAGGCACTGGTATACATTCAAATACATGTCCCATAGATTATTAATTACAATTAAATCCACTTACGTTTCGTCAAAATTTAAAAAAACAACCCTACTCCATAGCCCTGGAACCTTTTTTTTCACCCAACACTTAGCCTAGCCCCAAAGTAAGTACTATAAGGCGTATTATGGTATACTAGGGTAACCGATAGAATACATATACTGTACATATATAAGTATATTTAAATAAAACTAGTTTTTACGGGTTAATGCACGAAACTTTATTTATTTATTGACGTTTCGCAGCCTTTTCAGGTCTGCATCGTCAGAATAATGATTTTATTTAAAATTGTCGAGCTACCTTCGAAAGAATTATATTGTGCGTTCGGTTATTTCATTGGAAGATTTTTAAAAATTTTTTTATTGTCTATGTATGAATTTATTGTTTAATTTACTTAATAAAGTATTTTATTTAAAATTCTTGTTTGTAATTTTGAGTTTATTTATTTGACCCTAACTACCGTAAACTACCACCGGTTCCAAAATTGGGAGACCTTCCTGAGAAGAACCGGCGAAACAAACTCAAGAGAGGCTTTCTATCTCCTTCTTATGTTAAATTATGCAAACAAAAAGAACTAATAGTATCTGATGGTCTTGCAGTGTGTGCTCGGGGTTGGGATTTTATCTCCTGTATAATAGGTTCCCAAGCTGGTGGTATATACCAACCATCTTCCCTATTGAAATTTGGATATTTTTTAATCTCAATTGGGATCTGACAAAATTCGTGAGACACCTGGTGTTCAATTTTGGAACTAATACCGGGGTGCATCGCTCATCAAAACACATAAGTTATCATTAGTGTCATTAGTACTTTTGAGAAATTAAACAAAAAATGACGGAAGAATTAGGAATATTTAACCCTCGCAAGATTTCTAAAAAAAGAATAAAGTGTTGTGTGTATGGATGTGGAAGCAGTTTTCAAAAAAACCGTGAATTAACGTTTCATAAGTTTCCTAAAAAAATGCGCGTTGTGTTTACATCAAAAATTATTTTGGTCAAATGGAAAAAGTGGACCAATTCACAGCATGGAAGAACGCTTTGAAGATTGACTGTAAAATAAATCCTCACATGAAAGTGTGTTCATTGCATTTTCTGAAAGACGACTATATATTACCAGGTGAGTCAAATTCGTTTTTTGAGGTTAAGCATGTGTGAAGTAGCATTTTACAAGATCTCATTATTATTCCACTAAGAAAAGAATGGGACGGCAACAACATTAAAATGAAAGAGTTTCCTTGGTTTAGTTACCACAATTCAATAAATGTTTGTGTATACCACAATTCAATAAATGTTTCGCAGCTACCAGTCGTTCACCCTCTCGAAAATTGCGATTACTGGGCGTTGAACCGGACCATTCACAAATATCATTAATTGTTAAGACTATCATTATCTACCACTAATATTGATATTTAACTATTTTACGGTATTTCATCACGGTTTGACTAGGCAAATGCACCCCCGTCGGCGCCATATTGAATAGGCCACGCCTCCATGTCAGATCCCAATAGCCTCGCGCATCATTCGAGGAACGAACCGCCGCTCAGCTGCAAGGATATGTGGTCTATCAAATCTAATGTAGTGGTTTGGTCCCCCTAATGCATGTTCACACACTGCAGATTTATTTTCGCGCCTATGTTTCATATCTGCGATATGTTCTTTTACCCGAGTCCCTATACTCCTCTTTGTTTGCCCGATGTAGGAGAGCCCACAGTCGCATTCAAGTTTGTAGACACCAGCAACTTGAAAGGGTATATTGCACTTGACCGGTCGTAGAAACTGGTTGATCTTCTTAGGCGGCTTGAAGTATGTATTGATTGAAGCACGCTTCAGAATCCTCCCAATCTTGTCAGTGACTCCTTTCATGTAAGGTAGTATAGCAGGTTGTCGGTCGACTGTGCTAGATTTGGCGCGACTGTGACGGCGACGTGGTACATTCAGGTTATTATCCTTCAGTACTTGCTCGACATGCTGAAGTTCAGCTGCCAGGTGTTGTTCGTCACAGACACCCCGTGCTCTCTGAAACAAAGAGTTTCCTACGGCAGTTAATTGTTTCGGGTGATGGTGTGAGTCACCATTGAGGTACCTATCAGTATGAGTCACTTTACGATATATTATATCGTAAAGTGACTCATACTGAAAACCTAAGAAATAAATAAGTATATTTATATAGAAATACATATTAAACATCCATGACTGGAGTACAAATGCACGTATTCATCACACAAACATCTGCCCCCACCGGGATTCGAACCCGGGACCTCTCGAGTCGGCGACACCATGAAACCAGGCGTACAAACCACTCGGTCGCGAGGTCGTCATATTCCTACATCCTTACTCGACGACAGAAGCACACCACCACTAAAAGTTAGTATTATAAAGAAATTATAACTAGAAAAAATTCCACGCGGACCAGGCGGCAGACGGGACTCGAACCCGCCGCTCGAAGAGATGGCGAGAATTTCGACGTGGCCATCAGGGCCGCGGTAGCATAATTGGTCAGTGCATTCGCCCGAATAGCGAAGGGTGCGGGTTCGAGTCCCGTCTGCTGCCTGGTCCGCGTGAATTTTTTTCTAGTTATATTTTCTTTAGATTTTAACATCAAGCAGTTTCATGCTTAAAAAAATAAAAAATATAGTTAGTATTATTTTACTGTAAGGCGGAGGTTACTTCCCAAGATAGGCGCTCCAATTCGAATGGAATAAGAAGGCAATAAACTTTAAATACGCTTATAATATAATATTTACCGAGCTAAAGAATGCACATGAATAAGTGTTTTCGACTTTCCTCAATATTATATTTATAAGACAACCCGAAATGAAATGAAATTAAATGAAAAGTCATTTATTCAGTCTAGGCTGTTACAAGCACTTGTGAATGTCAAGAAGCTACGCCATCGGTTCGCAAAACTACGGCGGGAGATCTTGTACTGAGAAGAACCGGCAAGAAGCCTTGCTGAGTGCAAGGGCTGTTTTTTTCTCCCTGTATTGTTATATACTGAGTCTTCAAGTTGAAAAATGACTTTAGAGATACGTCTGAAGTCACCGAAAGTTTGAAGGTAGACAATTCCGCAACTCGGCATCAGGTGCCTATTTTGCGTGAGAGGATGGCTTTAGTCATGCCATCCCAACTCCACCAAGAAGCTCAGCAGTCTCTTGGTGTCTCCGCATGCCTCGAGTAGCGTCTGCGGGCTGCTCAGGTGTGTCATCCGTTGTCTGGTCACGCTTCTGCACTGTAGCAGGACGTGAGTGCTCGTCTCCTCTTGGAGACTGAGGACTCACGAGAGGACTGTCCGAGACACCTATTTTAAAGAGAAGTTTATTAAAGTGTCCATGTCCTTTGAGAATGCTCACTATTTGTTACAAAGCATGTCTTGGGGAGCTCGATGGCGCAAGTGGTTAGCGCGTTCCGCTGCGGTCATTTGAAGTTAAGCAACTTTCGCAGTGGTCGATTATTGGATGGGTGACCAAAAATTTACTATCTCGAGCTCTTCCGTGCTTCGGAAGGCACGTTAAGCCAATCGGCCGCGTGGGTGGGTCATGGCCCAATCTCCCTATTCCATCCATAGGGAAGGCCTGTGCCCCAGCAGTGGGGACATTAATAGGCTGATGATGATGATGTCTTGGTAACTTGCAAAACTTACTTGCTACCTAAGACTAAGACTAATGGCGTGCCTGCAGTCTGCAAGTCCAGCCCAGTATTCGTTATATTGTCGCTGGTATCGTTCCCTAATCCAACCTCGCAGCAGTCGGTATAGGATTGGTTCTGGGCCAAATACCACAGTGTCCGACCCTCTCCTGGCCAGACAATCTGCCGCATCATTGCCCCTTGACCCACTATGTCCTTTTGTCCATTGGAGTTTAACTTCGTTGTCGTTGCCTACCTCCATAACATTGCAGTGGCATTCAAAAACCAGTCCGGACGTCATTATATTGTTGTCTAGCGCCTGGAGTACCGAGGCACTGTCAGAGAGTAAAGGTGTACCTACTCAGTGTTACCAACCCTTACCAAAATGTTACCCTAAGTATTTTTTTAATTCCCCTAAAATCCCCTAAATATAGAAATTTATATTTACCTACTTATCTTATTACCTAAATTCTTTCGTTGCTCATAAATTAAAACGTTACATATTTAGTTACAGTAAATTATTTTATTGAATAAATACATTTTCCGAATAGAAAATCAAACGAAAATGAGCTGACAGGCTGTTAAATCTTATTTAGCTGTTTTGATTGGTGGAAGGCAAAGAACTTTAGTCCATACAGCCTTAGAAAACAACCTGCCACACAGTGAGTTCAGTCGTTTCATATCGTGATGCGTTCCATTCTACGCACAAAACTGAAAGAAAACACACGCTTAGTTTTTCGATTTAATTTTTTAAGTTTTGTTAAAAAAATACTTGTAGGGGCTCCTACAAGTACCCCCAAAAAATTCCAGCCCCTAAAACAGTCCGTTTTAACCCTTCTAGCC